ATCGTAGCTCAAAATTCTACAACTGTTCTTTGATTTTCTGATTCAAATACTTCATTTCTAAATCTTTCCTTTTTATATTATTTGATGTTCCTCTATAACACTTCTTTTCTTAAAATTAATAAAATATTATTGTTCATTTAATTAAACTGAAGATTTCCCTATTTTACACTTTGCTATTTTACTCTTCGCAATTCGTACAAAAAATACTTTCGCTGAAAAACTTTTCGCTAAATGATCACTTCGCTCAAAATCTTTTCGCCGTTTTCTTTTTTCGCTGATTCATATTCGCTGGAAATTTTTCGCTTAAAAATCTTTCGCTGGTTTGCCACCATACCAGTAATCACATCCACACTCACACCCTTATTATAGCTGATATAGATGACAATCGACTAAATTTGTTAAGAGGCCTCACTGTAAATCAATTAAGTATCGTTGATTGCTTTTTTCCTTAGAAGACAAATGATCTCAACGAATATTTGCTGTAGTGCGAAATGGCAATCTTGTACTTTTGTTTTAGTAAAAAAAATTATGAGAAATACAAAAGTGAAGTAGAACTATTGTCTATGTCAAGTCAAAATAGGAATAATGATACGTAGCAGATGAATTAGAATGAATTCAATAATATGAAGGAGCATGTGCGAATCTGTACAGCAAAAAAAAAACAATTAAAATGTCACAGATTTATATACATATTTCTACAATGTGCATGAATCTTGTGCAATAAGTAAGAAAAAAAACACATGCAAAGTGATTCAAGTCGTTGTATTCTGTTGATTTTGAGAGAATACTTTGATTACTCGACCATTTCCCTTAGTTTGTTGACCAGATCGAAATATTAGACGTGCATCTTCAAGTACGTATTCACATCGTGTCTTAAATCGAAATGTTACAATAGCTTTTTCGTTCGCATATAATTCATCCTTAACAAATAATATAGAATGCTTGTCATTTTTTCTTGCATAAAGAATGCTCATTACGTACTATATTCATATCGATAATAACTGCTGTTTGACGAATATTTTCTATTTGTACAGTTGTTTCGAAACCTTTATGTATTGGTGTATTGGTATGATGCATAGTGAGAGAGATTTCAGCAACAAATTCATAGCATGCTTCTGGGTTTACCGCAGGTGAAACAAGAACCATACCCTAGAAATATTCAATTAAATTAGACTCATCGTATTCCATGAAAGCTTATCTCTCTTATTGCTCAGACAAAAATTTTCTTGAAATATAAGGTAAATTATTTAAACATTCGATGTATCTTACATACTTTTCTTAATCGGCTGCTTTCAATGTCTAGAAGACTGAGCGAAGCAGCTTGACCAGCACGGACTATTCGTCGTGGTACACGATATCGTTCAATAGTTGCTACTTTTGTTGGAACAAAGCGACCGTCAGACATTGGACCAACTAGAAAACTGTCTCCTTCATGAATCGTGCCACTAGAGTAGAAAGAAAATGTGTTGTTTACTCTAAACACATCCAAAGAATGAAAGAATACCTTCGTAGCGTACCACCGACGACAACCTCATTCGATGTATTGTTAGTATAAATATGATCGATCTAAATGCAGTTATTATTCAAATAATACAATATGAATAAATAAATTTTGACGTACGCGATATTCGACAGGTAATTGTGAGAGAATTTCTTGTTCACTACTGCTAAGACGTGGAGGAAGAATATTGAGAAATTTTTTAAGTAGATCAATATTTTGACCAGTAACACATGATACAGGTAATATTGGACAGATGCTATTAACAAAGAAACCCATTCATTGAAAGAAAAAATGAACAATAATAAGAATAATATACTTTTTCTCGACAAAAATATCCGCCGCTTTGATAAGATCACCTTCGTTTTGAATAAAATATGGCTTAAATTGTACGAAACCATCACCATGTTTAAGTAATGAAGTTAAACATTCAATTGTTTGTTGTATAGTTACTTCTGAACACGCATCAATTTTATTAATGATTACAAACACTGGTAGACCCAAGGTAATGGCAAGTGATAAATGTTCACGAGTTGTGTCAACTAGACAAATATTATTTAGAAAAAGAATTTTCAAAAACGAAAACATACCAATGCCTGTTGGTGCATCAACACATAACATAGCAAAATCAGGATGAAGTGCAGCAAGGCCAAAGACAGTGGTTTTCATATATTTCTTATGTCCCGCAAGATCGATGAATGTAATAACTAAAATGAAAACATAAATAGATAAAGAAAAAACCAATAGAAATCCTTTACTTTTTGTTGATCGATCACAAATTTCATTTGCTGTTCGACAATTTTTATAATTCATACTCTAAAAATTAAAAAAAATTGATTTCAAACTTGACAAAATCTGAACTTGTTTGGTTGGTTACTTCTCCAGCATCGTTGAAACCAAGTATTTCATATGTAATCGAAGATGTTCTTCCTGACTGAATTTCATGCAAATGTCGAAAGAGATTAAGTCGTGCACAACCTTTACCATTGATTCACGTGTAGCCGTATTGGGTACAGTTAATAGCG